TGTATTTTTGGTTTGTTTTTGAACAGAAGTCAGAATTTGGTATTCTATAAACTGTTGTAATTAATTCTATAATGATTATTTTTACTAATTGCTATTGAGATGCAACTCAATGGTTGCCTATTATATTTTGATATATGTTTCCTAAAAGGCAACTTAATGGTTATACTTTTTATCATTGTGATGATACTTCAACAGTTTACAATGTAACATACATTTTGAAAATGTACAGTACATTTTCAAGCAAAAATTGATGTCACAACGGCTTGATATCAGCAACGACGTATTTGAACCCGGAACTTTGTGGTTCCAAGTTAAGTTACTACCACATGTTTGAAAAAATATTAAAATAACCTGTGTTGAATAAATTTGTAATAAGTTGATCCAGAACTGTTTAGGATAATGAAAAGTCGATTTTTTATAGTTTCTGTTAAAACTTGTTTCGGATCCATTGGGCAGTGTGTAGCGCCTGGTACTTATAGCCAACAAGTTACATATTAAAATTATCTTTTATATTGATAAGCCTATATGAAAAGATCAAAGAGTTTATATATCTATTTACGATTCATTTCGTTTAGTCGGCACATAACACGAGTTATTTTGCAATGAATGTCGTTCTTGCATAACATTTTAATCTTTAACGGTTATTAAAGACTTGTGCTAATTTTCTATGCAAATAACACGTGTTGCTCAATATAATAAATGCGCCACATAAGCCTAGGCCGAAGATTGTGAATGATGGTGCCGGAGAGATATAATTGTCTAATCTCTTAACAATGTAATACTTAATTGAACAAAACTAGACATTAAACCTGACAAGCTCCAAAAGCGTTATTCTAATGATTTTCTGATTAATGTTTTGTCATGAATAAATCATTATATATATATATATATATATATATATATATATATATATATATATATATATATATATATATATTGTTGTGCCCGCAGTATGCGAGACGGTTTAAACATGCAAATTGGTATTAACACTTTGAACTTCTCTTCATTTATTATTAAAACAATATTCATCTTACCATTACTGATGTGTAGTATAATCATTAATTTAACTATCGAAGATGGAATTATGAACACAAGCGTTTTTCGAACGCAAATATTATGATACCTGAGCTCCGTACTGTAAATAAATGAGTGAATCGCGTTGGATAGAGTTACCATTGTGATATAAAAGTAATTAAACATTTTGTGATATGCACACACATACCTTTAGTTATTTTAATGATTAATATCATGTTAAAATGTTTTGATAAATTAGGGAAATCGAGCATGAAGTTAATCGTAACATGGCGATCGGGCTCACTCATAGGTAAGTGGCTAGAGCAACGGGATCTGAAATAGAGGTTTCGGGAAGTATACTCGAATCGATCAGCCCGATGTAAAGCAGCAGTGACATCAGTTAATAGAAATATAGTTAGCAATTTGTGCCAAAGTTAGAATAGCCCTCACCAGACTTTGCTGCATAAATAAAAAATCACTATTACAATAATTGTAATAATAAAAATCATCACATAGAGGTAGTACTACAGCTTGTCTTGCCATATGTAGAAAAATTGAACTTAGTAATAAATCCATTATAATAGCTCATGGAAATGGCTGTTTAAAAAAAAGTAAATAAATTTGGCTATGTGCGGTATAGTTGTGTTGAAAAATTATAATTATAAGGCTTTGTTAAATAAATAAGTGTACTTTAAAAATTTGATGATTTAAACTGCTCATGAGAAGTGTTTCACGAGCAGCTCATTTTTAGTTTTGCAAATAAATCTTAGACAAGAAATTTCATTCATTTATGGATAAAACTCATGATTTTAAAATAGTTACGTCATATTAGCATATCCTCCAGATATTATAATGGCATAAACAACCAAACATTAAAAAAAAACAATAACCTCATATAATGAGCAAATAACATATTTTTTTATTTACTTTTATATATACTATCAAATTATCATTATAACTAACTTTTTTATTCTTTTTTTTCTTCTAACCTTGCTTCTTCATCTCAACGTCTAATTCTGCTTCATCTCAAACCAACAACTTCAATGTAACAAATCAGATGACAGTCCTATGTCAGTGCCAGGACTCGAACCGAGTAACCCTGGCGTGTGAGTCGGGCACGCTACTGACTGAGTCATTTTCATGTATAACAGTAATAATTATAAAATAAAAATATTTTTCAAAAAATTAAACTAAAATTCAAAGTAAACAACGGTTGTTGTCAGCAACCGATTCAGAATAAGCCAATTGATCGTTTTTCTGCATACTAGTAAATATATAATATTTAAATTTATATTTTTGGGACGATTGCCAAATATGAAACGTTATTATTGACAAAAATAAGAAACATGTATTTGAAATATTCATGCCAGACTTAACGAACCCAGAAATAGTGATATGTTTGTTACACGAATGCGTTATCTAATTTTGTGTCTGTTAAGTATCTTCATGAAGAGATCGTATATCTTCTGCATTGACTTTTACGATTTGATTTAGTGGAAATCGTGTCATTTTGTTTCGAGATATTATTCTAAATATACTAAATATGCTATTTTCGGATGACTAGTTCCACTCGAAACGTGTGATACTGGAATACCGTATTTTTATAATGAAATAGGTTTAGTAATGAAACAGGATTTTTTTAAATTCTAATTTTTGGAACAACCATTAGATTGCCTTCTAGTAAAACAGAAAATACAACTATTGAGTTGCCAATATTAAAATAATCATTACAAACAATTTGGTATTATAGCATACCAAAGCTTTTGTTCGCTGTTCGAAAACAAACAAAAAATCCACTTTTGTGTACGGTTTCTCTCATACAATCTGTATCTATATTATTTATTAGACATTGGACTTACAAAACAATACTTTTATAGATTTTCCAAGACAAACCTTAATTGTGTTTGTGAGTTTTATTTTGTCATGTCTCATCCGTGGACAAAGTTTTATAAATATCCCAAATCTCAAAATTAACTTTTATTTTCACGTTAAGTGAAACACGAGCCCTTAATGAAAATTCTTTTTCAATCTTAAGAGTATTTGCTGTCAAGGGTACATCTCATCATTTAAACTTAAATCTGTCAATTATTCTAAAGTGGAATTTTTCCCTTCGCTTATAATTTATCTAACGTTTGAATTCTCATCAGAATGAATTTGATTTGACGTCTTTTAGCGGCGTTTTATTATCAGAAATTCACACATTGAGAGATAAATAGCTTTCACTGAATTGGATTTATGTTTTATTTCTTTTTACATGATTTATGGAAAATATATTTATTAAAATTATTATAATTTAATATTTGAAATGGCTGAAGCATAAAACTTTACACATAAATTTTAACCTCACGTGTGTGTTATTAATAAGACATCAGAAAGGTGCACTTATGATAAAGTTTAGATTAGATTAGATGTGTGAAACGCCTGATCGTGCAGCAAATACATAGCTTTCTGGCAGTTCTTACTCTTCTTGCAAATTCATACGAAGATAGACCCATAACATGGCGTTATCATAACATTTCTATTTTATTAATCTATTTTAGAATTGTCCCTGAAATGGAGATGTTTTAATTTATTATTTTTATTTTAGCCCAATTAAGTGACTTTGATATTTGGTAGATTAATGAATTTATACTGTACCCAATTTTGCGTGGTTAGCCCATACTTGCAATTTTTGTAGGGACGTTATTAACAACCCTAACACCGTTGGCGTTTAATATTTCCTAAGGGTTTGCTCATAGGTAAGTCGTTAGGAAGACGGTTCCAGAGGTCCCAGGTCGGATACCCGGTGCAGCCTGATGTCAAGCGGTAGTGACATCGGTTTTTACTTGGAAATATAAATAGCAATATGTTTACACGTGACAATAGCCCTTGCCCAGAATTGCTGCATCAATTAAAAATTCATCAGTGTAACAAAAATTGTAGTAAAAATTTCATCGCATGGAAAACTGTTTGGGTTTCATCTATTAAAAACCAACGTAATTTGTAAGTAATTCATCAAAACAGTTTATAGAACCCTTAAGTTCTGATCGCAACTAAAATAAATAAATAAATAAAAAATAAGAAAGTACTAAAGACTTGATTTTTACCATTTTGTGTCATATAATCTGTGTCTATGTTTTTTACTCCATTAGCTACTCGTGGAGTGTCACAAATCTGCCGTTCGTCTCCAAGGTCCAAAATGGCAATTCTCTCCATTTTCCGATGACGCAAGTCTGAATCGTAATAATATTGGCCGGATATCAGAACGGCACAGAGCAGCCTGGCAGTCTGTCTGTCAATGGTTTTGAAATAATGTCAATTATCGTGATTATACCGTTTCAGAGAGTCGGGGCCCTTTGTCGGCGATATTACCTTTCTAGGCTATGTAGCACGCACGCAATTACCGTATTGTTTTGAAATTGCTTCGCAAGGCGCGAATGTCAAATTTAATACAACCACGTCGTATCAAGCGGTTCTATTTATGGATCCTTAGGCGGCTGTATGATTTCGAATCATCGTCGAAGAATATAAATTTACAGGCTATAGAAAAAATAATATACCTTCTGACTATGGACAAGAATTTGATTCCTAAAAATAATATTATCCGACATCTAAATATACTTCAAAAAACTCTCTTATCTCATGTATGCTTAATACAGGATGCTAGTCGGTTGGCATCTCTTCTCATAATTTTACTTTAAATTTTTTGTTCATGTGTATACACGAGCTTCAAATAATCCTATCTTGCATATTTGACAAAACTAGACTATTGCGTGGTATATTTAAAAGTTCAAACTTGTTAACTAATTATGAAAATTATGTACTATATATCGTGACTTGAGATATAGGTACTTACCTTGAAAAACAAAAACGTATTGATATATACGTTTAGTACTACGACTATTTAAGAATTTAATCATATCTGCCAATTTTTTTACATTATAAAAATATTATCATGTGTGTTTTTGATTTTGTCTGAAATACTAATTTTTTTTATTTTGTTTCAGCATCCCTACCCTTCAGAAGACCAAAAGAAACAACTTGCACAAGATACTGGTTTAACAATACTGCAAGTCAATAATTGGTGAGTCGATGTTTATATTATTTGTTTGTATGAAATCTGTTGTGATTTCGAGACAATTTATATAATATTAATATTTTGATGTATGATTGTGCGCACAATTACAAATAAATTTATAGTAAATCGCAATGCCTAAATGCTGTTTAACTATTTTCTTTGGAATTTACCATGCATTTATATGCAAGGAAATCTAAGGAATTTTTATGTTTTGTCTAATGCAATAAAACCATTGGACATTGAAATTTACCCTTAAAAACATTGTCTGTGAATGTATACATATCCTACACAAAAATTTATGGCACTTGTGCATACGTATTTATTCACATTTACAAATACACTGTACTCTCATTCATTTTTTGCAAAAAACAGTCATACGGAGAAGCAATTTTAGTAAAAATTTCTTAAGTTTTAATAAATATAAATATGATATTTTAGTATAAAATTATGTACATTTGTCTATTATTCTTGCACACTTTAACTCTAAGATTTTTTTTAATCCACCATATAATTTACAACTGTCCTTAGTGGACATTTAATAAATCTAAAACAATGTAATGAGTTAAATGACATATGGTATATAAATGACAATAGTAGAAGTAGCCAGTGTTACTTCAAATACAACTTCAAGATTAGTCATGAGTTTTGATACAATTGAATTGAATTAACTTGAATAAAGTAAATCATTGGCATCCAACTACATTTTTAACGTTGTTCGGTCCAATTGTTCAGATGCGTATTTCTCTCGGTTTTTTGCCAATAATGAGGAAATGGACGGCCAATTTTAATTGTAATGTCTCAGTTAATAAATTAATTAATAAAGAATATATCTTTAAGTTAGTCACGAGTTTTGATACAAATGAATTGAATTCAAATAACTTGAATAAAGTAAATCAATGTCATCAAAGTACATTGGCAAAGTTGTTTGGTCAAATTTTTCAAATGCGTGTTTTTTGTAAAGTATTTGAGCTACGGTCGAAATATTTTTATAACAGATATCTAATGTCACTGGGAATATACCATAAATATATGAGCACCTCGAATTTAAAAAAAAAAATCGATAAAAAATATGCATAGCTAGGTCATGCTATATTCCGTTTTTTTGCCAATGTTCTAATAATGGGGAAATGGATGGTCAAGTTTAATTTCATAATTAAAGAATACATCTTCAAAATAGTCACGAGTTTCGATACTATTGAATTGAATTGAATTAACATGAATAAAGTAAATCATTGTCATCAAAGTACATTAGCAACGGAGTTTGGTCCAAATTTTGAAATGTGCATTTCTCGTATTTGAACTACAACCGAAATATTGTTATAGCAGATATCTAATGTCACTGGGAATATACCAATGAATATATGAACATCTCGAATTTACAAAAAATTGATAATAAAATATGCAAGGCTAGGGTCATGCTATATTTTCGGTATTTTACCAGTGATCCAATGGGAAATGGACGGCCAATTACAATGTCTTAACTAAAGAATACATCTTCAAGATAGTCACGAGTTTTGATACTATTGAATTGAATTGCATTAATTTAAAAAAGAAAAGGAAATCATTGGCAACGTTGTTTGGTCCAATTTTTCAAATGCGCATTTCTCGTAAAGTATTTGAACTACAATCGTAATATTTGTATAGCAGATTTCTAATATCACTGGGAATATACTGTAAAAATATGAGCACATCAAAATAAAAAAAATCGATAATTTATTTTTGGTATATTGCCAATGTTCCAATAATGAGGAAAAATGGACGATTAGTTAGTTAGTTTAATGTCTTGCTTAAGGATAGTACAATCAAATAAATAATTAAGATGAGTATATAGATTTTTACGTTGGCAACCTCTGTCCTGGCGTATTCGCCTATGTCCCGATAATGGAAATAGCGGATCAGAATAATTGACAATAAACGGCGACGCATCGTCGTATCGTCGTTTCCTTTAACTAACGGAGACGAAACGCGTCGAAGGACGGCCGACAGGGTAGTTCATTAAAAAGGTGTTTCGAAAGCCATTTGGAAGGCTATTAGGTCCGCTGATATTACTCCTTCGGGAGTCGTTCCGTGGCTATCCCATCGTAGGGCATTCCCGCATTACATGCGGGAAGGAGACCGCCGCCACCGCCACCGCCGCGTGCGCCGGATAAACAGCTTTTGTTAGCAGAAAGAAATGGAGCGTAATGTCTATCTTATGCATCTGGACGGAGGCGGGCGGATAATATGCTTTTGTGTAGAAACAACAACAATGTACCTACATGAGGCAATAAATAATCGCGTGATATACAGGCGCAGCTATATATTTGCCCACTGAGGGTTCGAGACAACTAACATTGTCGTCAGATTCTTGAAATTGTAATTAAACACAGTTGAACTCGATCACGCAAACTGGTACATAAATCGTTAATAAAGTTTATAAGCTCGTCTATTGATTTATCTAATTATGAGATCTGCACAAAAAGTGAGGAAATTCTAACATTTTGATAATTTAAATGAGCACTCTCGATTAAAATGTACCTAATGTTATTATTGTTCATAAACCCCTTAGCAATGCTTATGACTATTTACAATATTGTAAGATACTCGAAATCGCAATTAAACATATTAGATCTCAAAATAAACTAACGCGCCAATTCAGTCGTAAAATAGTGTAAAGTTATGGTATGACTATGTTGCACTGCATTTTTCATATAAAATGGTACTAAAATCTGTCAAGATGCTATGTATTTGCTGTGTGATTAGGCGTTTTACACACAAAATGTAAATTCACTTATATGTTAATATGATACAACATAACATGCACTTATGATGAGATTTTTTTTGAGGTGTGTGTATTTTCTACGTTAGGCTTTCTATATAAAATGCTGTTTAAAGTTTTTAGTATTATTTTATATTTGCCTCACCTTAACATTGGTCTATTTTGCGGCCGAATTGGCTCATAAATATAATGATAATTCAATTTGTTTACATTGTTTTTAGACTCCGTGATCTGTAACATGCCAGTTTAAATGTTTATGTTTGTTTAATATTTTAATTTTTTATGGATCACGTGTGCACAACCATCAACGAAATGATAAACTTATTATTTTCAATTATCAGATTTGTGATTATTATTTATTGTGGCATAGATACATAGAAGCATAGGAATTATGATTATGAGGTAAAAGCTAAAGTATACCTAATTTTTCTACCAATTTCGATGTTGGCTGAATAGAGTCGTGTTGTACAGTTCTAAAAAATCGATTTTGAGCATGCCTCACTCCTACCGGAGGGATTGCCGGACAAACGACCATCGAAAACCCCTTAGCTCCGCACGAGTAGACACTATTTTTCCACATTTTCTTCGCAACAATCTTATTCTAGGTTTCTAGCGGTTGTAAAAACGCTTAAAATACGATCGAATGTATTTGACTATGCATTGTGCAAAATAACACAGAGTTGTTGGATCTCTACGAAGCCAACGGCTGGTTTTACATATTTATGCACTAAAACGAAGAATGTACATGAATGCTCAAAACAATTTTTGAAGCCGAGATGAATTTTCTTTATGGAATATTACATAAATTATAAACGGAAATGTTTTGCTAAACCAATTTTGAAATTAATGAAAGAAGTATTTTATTATTGCAACCAAAATTGATAACACTATTTTGTCTTGCTCGTATCTTCTTAAATTCATTTTTTCGGTATCAAACCGAAAGTTTACTTTTTAGGATTCTTCAAGTTTTCTGAAGTTCTAATATTGTTTTAAATTAGAAATTAGGTTTGAGGTCTATTCACACTTTAATATTAGTGGAAATAAATTATTTTATCAAAATATAAAATATTCATTCTTTGCTCAAATGTTGATTCAGAATCGTACCCATCGTCTCTGTAGATTCGTTTTTCGTTCAGGGAGCATAACTACATCCGTATATAAAACGTAGAGCAAAAATTCTCGAGGAAATCTTAGGGAGAATGATAAATGTCTCAATACTGAAATAAAAATATATCACCAAGCGACTGTATACCTGTAACCCCCGGAAACGAGAAAAAATGTATATTAAAAAATACGAACAGAAAAACGAAATACGAGAGTTTTTCTACCCTCTCTCGAAGATGGGGAGGAGGATGTTGTGGATAGAGGGAAGTATCTGGAACGGCATATAGCTCAACACCGAATTAAATGAAAAAATATAATAATATCCGAGAAGACGAGCTGAAAGCCCGTTTCCCAAAAATGTGCAGGTCCGGGAAACCGAAAATTACTCCAGGAGACGGATCGATTTTTCAGATTTAGTAAAACGTAGAACATTTATTTAACCAGTTTTTTTTACTAGAATAATAGTTATTGGTTTTATAACCTCTATGTAGACGTTTCCAATAATAATTATTTCAAACCCAATACTATCAATGGATATAAATTTGCCAATAGCTAGGGATTTTACGACTTCCGTCTTGCAGAAATATTTCCTCTGATATATATATATATATATATATATATATATAATAGTTAGATCTATTATACAATGTCCCAAGTCGCAATGTCTGCCGATTTTAATGGATCTCTGTACCCCCTTAGTGCATTTTTGCTTCGTCTAGTTATTGTATTCCAGTAATGTGTATCTGTGGGCTAGGGTTGTTAAAAATATCAATAAAATGTTAATATTATAAATACAAAATTGTAATTGAAATTGTTATGTTATAGGGTATGGCGGGACACAAAGGTCCACTTTTACTTCGAGCAATTATATTGTGAAAACTAAACCAATATCAAAATAAATAACTCATATCAAACAAACAACTATTCGACTATGTTCAGTAAAACTTCCAGATAATTCATTATTGTAGAAATACCCCATCCACGTGTAAGCTTTTATATAGGTTATATACAAGAAACTGTTAAATCTAACCTAAAAATAAAAATACACCTTATAAAACAATTAAATATCGTATACTTAAAAGCTATATCAAGGTCTCGTAAACTAAACAATAGTGTTCACACTATTTTTGTTAACCATTTCTTA